TTTTTTTTTTTATTTTGAGAGAGAGAGAGAAGGAGAGCATGAGCATGGGAGGGACAGAGGGAAAGAGAGAGAAAAAGGGAGAGAGAGAATTCCAAGCAGGCTCTGCACTGAGTGCAGGGCCTGATCTCACAACCATGAGATCGTGACCTGAGCTGAAATCAGGTGTCGGGCTCTTAACCGACTGAGCCCCACCCAGGTGCCTATAGACTTTTTAAATCTAGAATAGCTTCCCTTAAAAAAATTTTTTTTATGTATAACATTGACTTCCTGAAGAGTGCAAAGCACTTGTCTTGTAACAAAATGTTCCATACACTCATTCCCTTTGAAAATAGCATTTCCCTACTTGGTGTCAGCTTAGTCTTAAGGTGACCAAGGGCCAGGTCAATGGTGCTGTGTGCAGTTCTCAATCTTAGTGGTCAGGTTCTCATCTGTTTGTTTAGCATGATTTAGAACACCAGAGAGACCCTGATAGTTCTGGAACAAACCAACTTGCCTTTTGAGGTTCCTTTTGACATCGAGGTGGCACTGTGCAATCATTTGTGTGTATCGGGACTGGGCACTTTGTTTGAAGCCCTTCCCGGATGTGCATTCACTTAAAGGTTGGCTTGTCTGTGCTTGTTTTTTGTTTTGTTTTTTTACTGTTTATGTATTTTAGAGACAGAGCACAAGTGGGGGAGGGGCAGAGAGAGCCGGAGACAGAATCTGAAGCAGGCTGCAGGCTCTGAGCCATCAGCACAGAGCCTGATGTGGGGTTTGAAGCCACGAACCATGAGATCATGACCTGAGCCGAAGTTGGACGCTCAACCAACTGAGCCACCCATAAGCCCCTGTCCATGCTTGTTTTAAAAGTGTTTTCCCTAAAGCATAATGAAGAGTGGTGGCTAGAATAAGGAATCTCTGATTTTCAAGGTTATGCTTCTTTAATAGCAAAAAAGCTTCAAACAGCAAAGTAAATCTCTTGTTGACAAAATTGGTCAAATGGATTGAATTTAATCAAGGCATAAAATGCTTGTTTGAGGTCACCTTATCACTGGCTGTCCAGTTTCCCCATTGTTAATGTGAAACGGTTTCCTTTCACGATGCTGTTTTCTAGAAAATGACTATTTGCTACAGTTCAGGAATGTAGCTAGTCATTGCCATTTCCTTCATCTGCTTTTTTTTTTTAAAGATTTTATTATTCAAAAAAAATTTCTTTTTAATGTTTATTTGTTTTTGACAGAGAGAGAGACAGAGAGAGACAGAGCATGAGCGGGGGAGGGGCAGAGAGAGAGGGAGACACAGAATCCGAAGCAGGCTCCAGGCTCTGAGCTATCAGCACAGAGCCTGACGCGGGGCTCGAACTCACAGACTGTGAGATCATGACCTGAGTCGAAGTCGGGTGCTCAACCGACTGAGCCACCCAAGCACCCCTTAAGATTTTATTTTTAAGTAATCATCCGACAGGGAGCTCCAATTCACAACCCTGAGATCAAGAGTTGCATGTTCCACCTGCTGACCAGCCAGGTGCCCCGGATCTGCCTTTTAAAAATTTTATTTTATTTTTTATTTATTTATTTTTTAAGGTTTATTTATTTCTCAGAGAGAGAGAGAGAGAGCGAGAGAGCGCGCGCACACGAGTAGGGGAGGGGCAGAGAAAGAGGGAGACACAGAATCTGAAGCAGGCTCCAGGCTCTGACCTGTCAGCACAGAGCTTGAACTCGTGAGCTGCGAGATTATGACCTGAGCCAAAGTCGGATGCTTAACCAACTGAGCCATCCAGGCACCCTGATCTGCCTTTTTTAATATTTTCTGTCCTTGTGGAGAAAACACACCTTAAAAAATATATATATGTACACACATACATGTATGTATTCATAGGTATATATTTTTTGCATTTTTTTGTTGTGGTAAAATATACATAAGATAACATTCCCTATGTTAACTGTTTTAAAATGTACCATTTAGTGACATTAAGTACATTCACCGTGTTGTACAACTGTCTCTACCATCCATTTCCAGAATGTTTTCATCTTTCCAGACTGAAACTCTATACCCATTAAACTATAGCTCCCCATTTCCCCCTCCCCCAGCTCCTGGAAACCTCCATTCTCCCTTCTGTCTCTATGAATTTGCCGACTCTGGGTACCTCATGTAAGTGGAATCATAAAATATTTGTACTTTTGTGTCTGGCTTACTTCACCTAGTAAAATGTTTTCAGTGTTCACCCATGTTATGGCATGTGTTAGAATTTCATTCATTTTTAAAGCTGAATGTATATACTCCACGTATACACCACATGCTTTATCCACGCTTCCGACAACGGACATGTGAATTGCTTCCACCTTTAGCTACTGTGAATAATGCGACTATGAACGTGCGTGTGCAGGTATCTGAATCCCTGCTTTCAGTTTTTGGGTATATACCTAAAAGTGGAATTGGTGGATTGTACAAGAATTCTGTGTCTGTTTTTTCTCTTTTTATCAGTAGGAGGGCCAAGTGTCATTTTGGGCAACAGAGCCACACATCAGGCCACATGGGTAGAGCCTTAAGATTTTATCTTTGTCCTGTGGTGAGACCGAGGGCAGGGGCAGTTTTCTTTCTCTCTTGTGTGGCCACATTGCTTCATTTTTGCCTAGTGAACCAAAGTATAGAGAACACTTCATCTTCTAGTTTCTAAAAGGATTGAGAGTGTTTTTGTTTTGTTTTGTTTTTTAATTTTATCTTTTGGACGTTGGCCAGATTGCAGTTACCAGCCGGTTGGCACTTGCAGATCTTACTCACTGAGACCCATTCACTGAAAGGATAGAGGGCTGGAGTGAGGCAAACTTACAGCCACAAACAGATCTTTGTGGTGGGCTTGCTTGTGGGGTTAGGTATGTTGAAAGCATGCATCCGTGAGCTAAGCGGAAACCTCTATTAACACCCATGTTCTGAGTAAAGCATTCACTGCAGAGCAAGCCTTAAGCACTCTTGTGAGGAGTCTGGGGGAATGTGTCCTTACAGTTAGCACAGCTGTGAGAGAGTTCACAGAGGCTGGGTGGGGTTCAGCCTCCTGACCAACCATGGTTATTAGCCAAGGTGGGCCAACCCAAGCCCAGCCTTGGGTAAGTAGCAGAGTAAATGATTTCTCAAGCTGTTGGAATCAGATGGACTAGGTATTTGTGCATATCTTAAGTCCATATTTATGTATTAAGTGACCTGATCATTACATACATTCTAAGCGAAAGAAGAAATGTAGAACATAAAAATTGAAAACCCTGCTTCCCAACTGCTAATCCCATTCTTTCCTTCAAAGTCCGAGGTATTTCTTTCCTGCCTTTTTTCTGTGCCAAAATGAATTCCAACTATGTAGCTTCTTCAGTTTGCATTTCTTTTCTTTTTTTTAAATTGTTTTGAAGCTTATTCATTTTTGAGAGACAGAGTGTGAGTCAGGGAGGGGCAGAGAGAGAGAGAGAGAGAGAGAGAGAGAGAGACAGGAAGACACAGAATTCAAAGCAGGCTCCAGGCTCTGAGCTGTGAGCACAGAGCCTGACGGGGGCTCAAACTCACGAATGGTGAGATCATGACCAGAGCCAAAGTTGGACACTTAGCCAACTGAGCCACCAAAGCACCCCTTAATATCATCGGAAGCCCAAAACATAATGAGCAATAGCAGTTGGTAGATCTTACAAATATTTTTAAAATATTGAGCAGGCTGCCAGAACCCAAGGCAGAAAATAGCAAAGTGGAATGACTTTGGGGTTAATAAATACAATCTTTTTTTTAAAGGTGTATGACAGAATATTAGCAAATAGTTAGCAATATATGATAATAATTATTCAGCATGATTAAGCAGAGTTTGTTCCAGGGATGCAAGGCTGGCACACTAGTAGAAAATCAGTCAAAACAATCTACTACCAGGGCACCTGGGTGGCTCAGATGGTTAAGCATCTGACTCTTGATTTTAGCTCAGGTCATGATCTCACGGTTCGTGAGATCAAGCCCTGAGTTGGGCTCTGCACTGACATCACAGAGCCTGCTTGGGATTCTGTCTCTCCCTCTCTCTCCATCACTCTCTCTGTTCAAGCAGGTGCATGCACGTGTGCTTTCTCCCTCTCTCTCTCAAAATAAACATCAAATAAAAAATCTACTACCGTAACAGGCCATAAAGAAGGAAAATCACAGGGTCACATCAATTGATACAGAAAAAGCATTTGACAACATTCAACAGGCATCCATGATAAGAACTCAGAAAGGAGTGCCTGGGTGTCTCAGTTGAGTGTCTGACTCAGGTCATGATCTCAGCCGGGATCCAGCCCTGTCAGGTGCTGTGCCTTCCCATAAAAGGGAAAATATAATATGTTGGACTTCACCAAAATTAAGAACATAAAAAATGTCATGAAGTGTGGCCTGTGCCTTGAAGTCTTGGCATGGCACATGAAGATTGGACTGTGTTGCTGAAGCTTTCTTACAGTGAAGGCACACTCCTGGATGACTCCACTCTCTTGCAAGACAAGTGCCCTTAGCCTCCACCCTGCAGGCCACCTAGACACCATCTCAAACAGAACTCAAAATGCTGTGGAGACAATGATTGGACTTTACTTTTAAAAACTATTTATTTATTATTTAGATTATTTTATTTTATTATTTTATTTTATTATTTCCTAGAGAAAGAGAGAGTGAGTGAACAAGGGGCAGAGAGAGAGAGAGAGAGAGAGAGAGAGAGAGAGAGAGAAGCCCATGCAGGCTCTGCACTGTTAGCACAGAGCCTGAAGCAGAGCTTGAGCTCACCCAAAGTGGGGCTTGAGCTCACTTGATGTGGGGCTTGTACTCATGAACTATCAAATTATGACCTGTTCCAAAGTCAGATACTTAACTGAGCCACACAGGTGCCCCACTTTAAAAACTTTTTAGAACAATTTAAACCTTTTTGTAGTTAAGAGAACAAGAAGACAAACTTAAGGCCAGGAGAAAATATTTGGGAGCCACATATCCAACAAAGACCTAGTATCTAGAATAAAGAAGGAACTCTCAAAACTCAGTCGTAAAAAGAATCCAATTACTAAATGGGCGAAAGATGTGAACAGACATTTCGCTGAAGGGTGTGTACAAATGGGAAAGAAGCACATGAAAAGATGGTCAGTATCATTGGCCATAAGAGAAATGCAAACTAAAACCATTACACATCTATCAAAGTGGCTAAAATAGAAAGTAATGATAATACCAGATGCTGGCAAAGATGCAGAGAAAGCAGATCTAGAGCACTCATCCATTGCTGGTGGGAATGTAAAATGGTGCAACCACTCTAGAACACAGTGGGGGCAGTTTCTTAAAAAGAACTAAACTTGTAACTACTATACAACCCAGCAATTGCACTCCTTGGCATTTATCCCAGAGGAATGAAAGCCTATGTTCATATACAACCCTGTACACTAATGTTTATAGCAGCTTTATCAGCAATAGACCACTGGAAACAACCCAAATGTCCTTCAGTGGGTAGATGGTTAAACAAATGGTGGTACATTCATATCATGGAATATAACTCAGCAATAAAAGAACAAACTATTGATACAGGCACCAACCTGGATGAATCTACAAAAAATCATGCTTAGTAGAAAAAGCCAACCCCAAAAGGTTACATGATGTGTGATTCCATTTATATAACATTCTAGAAATGATAAAATTATAGAGATAGAGAACAGATTAGTGGTTGTTAGGGTGGGAAGAGGGTGGGGTGGGAAGGGAGTGGGTATGGCGATGAGAGGGCAGCAACATGAAGGATCCCTGTGGGGATGGAGATGTTCTCTGTCTTGACTGTGTCAAGCTCAGGACTCTTGTGATACTGTAGTAGAGTTTTGTACAATGTAACATTTGGGGAACTGGATAAAAGGTGTTATTTCTTTCACCTGCAGGTGGGTATCTCAAATTATTTTGCTCAGTCATCTCAAAATGAATAGTTTATTTAAAAAAATAATGATTGAATGCAATTTTTAAGCCTTTCAAGCAATACAGAATTGTCTTTAGTGAAAAATGAGCTCTTCTCCCATACCTCATTCCTCTTTCCCCCGTGTCACCTCCCTCAGGGCAAACCCCACTGGTAGTTACTATGTTCATTTTTCATAGTTGTAGAGACTTCTACTGAATTTCTCTCAATATTTCAGAATTGGATATCACTTAAATAACAAGGACAAAATTAGGGCTTTTGACCTGTTTGATAATCCTTGTCACAGATGTTCTCATATGGTAGCTACAGGCTTGGGTCCCATCTCTCAGTTCCCCCAGAAGGAACAGAACAAGGGAACACTGTGGGTGATGGCCTATGTCAAGGTCCCCACCTAACTTGTAATGTGCTTCTGTAAACCTGACAGGAATCGAGCCTACTGGAAACATGGTAAAGCAGCCAGCCAAGTTCACTGTGGACACCATCAGTGCCGGGCAAGGAGACGTGATGGTGTTTGTTGAGGACCCAGAAGGGAACAAAGAGGAGGTATGTTGGAAGACGCTGCCACTCCATGGAACCTTTGGGGCTGTGACAGGGCCAGGGACCGTGCTTTCATTTTCTAAGAGGATCCTGTGGCTTAGAGCAGTCAGAGTAATTGTCCCAGGACTATGCCTTGAAACATAATAGAAATCAATACCCAAGGACACAGTGTTTAATAAAATAAGGGATACTTTGTATTTAGCAAAGGCCTTGTAAATTGAAGTTTCAGATGCTCAAGACCAGAATAACAACAATACTGATGCAGTACAATACAGCCACATACTGTTTCTTTACTCTCTTCTGAGACTGACTATCCTTGGTTCCTACCTCTGGGCCTTTGCCCATACTGTTCCTTCTATTTATCTTCGTAACACTGGATTTTATTCCTGGTGCTTAGCACCATCTGAAATTCTACACTTACTGGTATATTGTCTGTTTCTCCCACTGACGCAGGGACTGTGCCTGATTTATTTTTGGTATCTGACACTAGGCCTGGCATTTCATAAACTCTTTTTTCTTTTTTTAATGTTTATTTATTTTTGAGAGAGAGAGAGAGAGAGACCAAGAGAAAGACAGACACAGAGTGTGGGTAGGGGAGGGTCAGAGAGAGAGGGAGACAGAATCTAAAGCAGGCTCCAGGCTCCAAGCTGTCAGCACAGAGCCTGATGCGAAGCTTGAGCCCACAAACTAGGAGACCATGCCCTGAGCCAAAGTTGGATGCTTAACCAAATGAGCCACCCAGGCGCCCCCATAAACTCTTAATAATTACTGGACCAATAAAGGTTTAAGTTACTCGCTTTATGGTCCCTCTCATCTATTGAGTTCCAGCCCTGAGACAGTGGAGAGTTAGGACTTGGGTATACATTTGTGCTACATGACCTTGTTTCTGTGACTTTAGGCTGCTTCTTTCCTGGGGCATCCTTTAGAAGTGATGGTGCAGGAAATCACCAGGACAGGGTCTTCACCTGGCACCTTGTGGCAGGGCCTTGGCTGTCATAGCATACTTTTACTGACACCCATCACCTTCTCTAACTATTGCTCATTTTCTGTCCTAGGCACAAGTGACTCCAGACAGTGACAAGAACAAGACATACTCTGTGGAGTATCTGCCCAAGGTCACCGGGCTGCACAAAGTAAGATGAGGTGTTCTGGCTGTTGCTTTGACTGCTCTTCCTTGTTTCAATATGTGTCTCTTAGGAAGGTTGAATTCTACTAGGTTCTTTGCAATGTCTTAAGATTTTTTAAACTCCATCTGGGTGACAAGTGGTTGTAGCTGCATGCCTGGAGTATAGATGCTAAGCTGTGGGTTCTTTATCTTTAATGCTTCCTTAAGTACTCCTCTTTGGGGTGCTCCAGAGCATCTATAAGTATTGGGGCCTAAGTGTGGAGAAGGCCAGTTGAATATAGTCAAAGCCAGTGTCCCAGTCATGCACCTGGAAAAATGCTGGGGGTCTGGTCCCCAGGTTCTTCGTCTCAACAACATTTTGAGTTCTATTTGAGTGGATGTCCAGTTGGCTATAGGACAGGAGCCAAGGGAGCCTTGCAAGAGAGTAGGGTGACCCAAGAGTGTGCCTTTCCTTGGAAGAAAGCCTTCAACAGCACACATGGGCCTATCCCTGTGTCCCATGCTAATATTTTGAGACCTGGACCATACTTACTACCTTGGTTGTTAGTGAATTCACCTGGAATCATGGCTATAGATTTTTCTTACACCTTTAGGATATTACAAATTTAGGAGAAAAAAAATCTTGAAGGGAGCATTTATGATGTAATTAATTCTGTCAATTCATATGAAACCCAACTCCATGCCCCTTCAAATTTAAAAGATGAGAGCTCCAACTCAAATTTTATTTTATTTTTTATTTTTACTTAAAAAAATTTTTTTTAATGTTTATTTATTTTTGAGAGAAGAGAGAGACACAGAGCATGAGCAGGGAGAGGCAGAGAGAGAGGAAACACAGAATCTGAAGCAGGCTTCAGGCTCTGAGCTGTCAGCACAGAGCCTGATTCGGGGCTCGAACCCACGAGCTGTGAGATCATGACCTGAGCTGAAGTCGGACACCCAACTGACTGAACCATCCAGGCGCCCCCAACTCAAATTTTAAATGAAAATCTATACTGTATCTCAAATTTATGTATCTGAGAGTGATTTTTGGTCCCATGAACAATATTTTGACTCTGGGTTTGAAATCCTGGAACTATACCTTGTACCACTAGGGGGGTCAGTGGCCCCTTCTGCAGCTGCCTTCAAGGGTCCCATGTCTACAGATTCAAGTATAAGTATTTGTTCATATCCTATTACATTGGCTAGCCATAACTGATGTAAGCATTTTTAGTTTGCTGAAAGCATGATGTCCTAGGCCCAGCCTTGTGGCCAATGGAGCCAGGTGGGAGTCCCATTCAAGTTGTTTAACCAGGGCCTCTGGTTCCAGCCACCTTTGTATGTATAGTTAGGAGGATGGAAGAGAAGATTGTTAATGCATGTGGCTTCATATGGTGGTCTCCCTGGGCAGGGAGAAGTGACTATATCTCATCTATCTGTCACCCGCAGGTTACAGTCCTCTTTGCAGGACAGCACATCTCTAAGAGCCCATTTGAAGTGAATGTTGACAAGGCGCAGGGAGATGCCAGTAAAGTCACTGCCAAAGGCCCAGGCTTGGAAACTGCTGGAAACATCGCCAATAAGCCCACCTACTTTGACATCTACACAGCAGGTATTATGGACCAGGCTTTCTTCTGGAGCCTGAGATGATTCTCAGGAGCCCCAAAGGTTTGGGATGCCTGACCTTTTGTCTTTTCAAACAACCAACAACAAAAGTGCCTTTTTCCAAGTGTGTTGGTTATGTTTATAGATTTTCCTAAAAAAATTTTTTTACATTTATTTATTTTTGAGAGACAGAGAGAGACAGAGAGTGAGCAGAGGAGGGGCAGAGAGAGAGGGAGACACAGAATCTGAAGCAGGCTCCAGGCTCTGAGCAAGCTGTCCGCACAGGGCCCAATGTGGGGCTCGAATTCATGAACTATGAGATCATGACCTGAGCTGAAGTCGAACACTCAACCGACTGAGCCACCCAGGTGCCCCATGTATTTATAGATTTTACTAAACCAGCTTTTCTTCTTTAAGATCTTACACTCAAGCTTGACTTTAGTTATTAATTATCAGGTAACTTCTGCACACATTTCTGACTTGAATAACCGTTGCAAAGAAACTAAGTTTTGAGAATCATCTGCTAGACCAAATTCTATGCAAGGCCAGGGTGGGGGCTGGTGGGGAGGAATAAGGATAAGGTGGGGAGGATAAGACACGATTCTTGGAACATCACTTTCTTTTCAGTGTAGAAAACTTAGAAAATATGGAATGGGAGAAAAGGAAAGTTTATGACCCTCCTCCCCCAACCAGAAAACAGTTGTTTGCATCTTGGCGTGGACTTTGACCTTCAGAGTACCTGTCTCCTTCGGTCTCCATCTTGTATCTGAGCTCATCCACAGTGAGTGTTCTGACAGGGTGACCTGGGCTCACAGAATGCTTGTTCTCTCCTAGGTGCCGGTGTGGGTGACATTGGTGTTGAAGTGGAGGATCCCCAGGGGAAGAACACTGTGGAATTACTGGTGGAAGACAAAGGAAACCAGGTGTATAGATGTGTGTACAAACCAGTACAGCCTGGCCCCCATGTGGTCAAGGTCTCCTTTGCTGGGGACACGATTCCCAAGAGTCCCTTCGTTGTACAGGTTGGGGAAGGTGAGTGCTGGGGTGGCCAAATATATCTGCTTCTGGCATTGAGGCTGACGGTGTGCACAGCTGGGCTCCGAGGCCAGGGGTATAGTGGGGGCCACACTGGACTCGCACCTGTCCCCTTTCTGCCAGGTCCCCTTTGGTGGGAAGTGGCTTGCTTTGTCCTCAAGATATTAATATGAACATCTTATTGTGAGCTGTGCGCTGACCTAAGTGCTTCACTTGTATTAACGCATTCAGTCCTCCCCAAAACACTCGTGTCAGAGGGTCGTCACTGAGAGATGCAGGACTGAGGCCATTTGGGCAGTTGGTGTCTGTGGCTGAGGTTGGCACCTGTGGCACTGCTGGTGCCCTGTGGCCTCCACTGCTTGGCCTTTACTGGCCGTCAGGCACTTAGCATGACTGCATCTAATCATCACACCAACCGGTGTGTTTCAGGTGCTAAAATTATCTCCAGTTTTCAGGTGGAGACACTGAGGTTTGGATAACATAAAGTATCAGTGAGTACGGACTAGGCATCAGTAGAAGTAGAACTCAGGTCTCTTTTGACCCCTTACCCATGCTGCTAAACCCCTTCTGCAGCCAGAGCATGCTTTTTTCTCTAACGTCAGATCCCTTTCCTTCTGACTTTGTTGTTCTTTTGTTTTGTTTTGTTTTCCAACTCTGTTGCCTTTTCTAACCAATACTTGCCTTTCCCTGTTCTGTCCTCTGCATCTGCATCCGTAGAACTGGCTTCTTCTCTGAATCCTACCTCTGGGTCAGCCTGGACCCCGAAGCTGTTGGCTTCCTAACTGAGAGCACTGGGCCAGAGGCATCTTGCTGGGTAAGGGCTGGTCGAATGGGACTTCCATGCCAGTTCCCTGTGCTACCTGCACACATTAGCTGGGCCTGTGCTGTTTGTGACCTCAAGACGTGACAGTGTGGGGGTCAATGTTACTTGTCTAGCTGGACCCCAAACCTGCTCTCTAGGTACACTGAAACATGTGTAAGACATCTCAAAATGGTGGAGGACCTGGTGGTTTCTTTCAAACTCTTTAACTCCATTTAGTGTTTATATGAACTGAGCAGTTACCCTTTTGATGTTGAGACTATTACCCGTGTTCAGAATTTCCATGAGTGTTTGGTTGTTTTTTTTAAGACACATAAAAACCCTCCGAGGGAAGTCCTGTCATCCTGTTGTGACTTATTTCTGGTATGACCGACTTTTCTCCTTTTGACAAAGGAAAAAAAACAAGACCGACATATTCATAAATAAAAGTCTCTTTGACATATGCAGGAAAGAATTTTTAACAGCTTTCCTGTTCTAATATTGTTTTCTGATTCCCTCTCACTTGTGGACTACATTTTTCACCTTGCATATCCATCCATCACTTGTACTATTTAGTATTTAATTGATAGAGTTTTTCTTTTGATGTACTCACCTTTCCACTACTTAACTGATTTCATATAAAAAAAGAATCTTCATGCCATTTTCACAATGGAAAACCAGTGTCACTTGCCATAAAGTGTGGCCATAAGACTTATGTTCATCCATGAACCAGCTAAAATAATCTCCAACTCCTAGGATATGAGTATATCTTTTCGGGAAGCAGTTGTTTGCCAAATAGCCAGCTGAGAACATTGCAAGGTGGAGGCGCCAGAGGAGGAATTCTCTTCCTTCTATGCAGTAAAGAGTTTCATCCTCTGGAGTCTATGATCTCACTTCTAGCATATAGAGAACTACCGAATGTGCAGTGTCAGATTTGGAAAGGAAAAGCTACTTAATAAACAACGTGACATTTTGCCCATTGCTTTCTCTTTTCTGTACATAAAAGAGTTGCCCAAGTTGGCAAAGAATTCCTAGGGTACAAGGATGCATTTTATCAACCATGGGACAGTAGTTTTGTGGGCCTGTCATGTAAGAAGTACCAGAAACTACCTTGGTCCTTAATTTTTAGACTTCTGACTTCAGGTTTTTTAAACTAGATCCAGAAATCAAATGGAGAGTGGCGTTTACTGCTAATTGTTGCATTTATAGCCACCCACATTCTGATTACCTGGTGACAGCACTAAAATATTTGTCTGCCATGGCCAGGGTGGGGTTGAATGGGTCTCTTTTTGAGCTGTCCTCTGGCTCTTCATGCGGAAGACGATCACATTTCGACTTTTAGAAATGGCTGATCTGAAGTTGGGAACGTGGTCAGATGTTTTCAAGTGCTACATTTTTCAAATAGACTTGAAAAAGTTTGGTCTTCCCAATTACTGGGCCCTTGAGTATGGCAATGAGATTTAACTCTCCTTCACTACCAAGAGGATAAATGCCAGGATTCAGCGGGTTCCAGGAGCTCAGCAAATGCATGCTGTGCTTCTCCTTCTTTCTGTGCCAAAGTAACTGCCCCCCCGCCCCCACGCCCCTACTGTCTCTCTATGGTGTGGCTGGACAAAGTTATGTTGTGTCCTTATTTGCTAGCCTGGTGTGTTCCCTGAACGGGACCCTTGGCCTCAGGCAACTGCTGCAGGCGCTCTGTGCAGAGCAAACATTTTCTTGGCGGGTGGCTCCAAGTTACCTTGGCTTGCTCAACTCTAGCGAATGAAAGGTTGAATTGATGTCAAAACTGTGTTTGCAGCCTGTAGTCCAAACGCCTGCCGGGCCAGTGGCCGAGGCCTGCAGCCCAAAGGCATCCGCATCCGGGAGACTGCAGACTTCAAGGTTGATACCAAAGCTGCTGGAAGCGGAGAACTCGGTGTGACTGTGAAGGGTCCTAGTAAGTGCTGCTTTGTTTCCTCATCTCAGGTGTGACTTTGGCTGGCTTTGCAGCCATAGCATATGGATTTCATCCCACAGCTGGTTTTGATTGATCCCAGAGAGCTATGTCAAAGAGTTGAGGCAATCTGGGCTCCATGGGGATTGGTTGATTAGTTACGTCTACCCTGGATACAGGTGGGAACAGTGGTAGCTTGACCGCCTCACATATTAAGGCTTCTGGGAAAAGAAAAAGCAGTGATGCAATAGAGTTTGAGAAGTGCTCTCCTTGGAATGACAACCTGAAGTGGCTTATTTTTTATTTGAGGAAACCTAGGCTCGAGAGAAAGGGTCTTGCCCAAGGTCACACAGCTCATAAGCATCTGGGCTGGAATTCAAGCACAGTCTCTAAAGCCAGTAATTTTCCCACTACAGGTTACATTTTATAGATGATGAAATTATGCCAAGTACCTAATTACTATGATCAGTGCTTATAGAAGGAGAATAAAATTCCCCTAAGATTAAGTTTTCTTTGTAGATAACTGCTGTTCATGGAGGGGTGGGTTGCACTCTGCAACTCATTCTTCCTCCCTTTTTGGGGAGGGAGACTGCAGACACAAGGTCAGGCGTCTGCTCTGCTTGTGTTTTCCCCTGCCACAGATAAGCAGCTCTCCATTGCTGGCTGCAGGTGTAGCAGCCCTCAGTGGGAATGTGAACTTCCTATGCCAAGGTTTCTCCCACCCTCTGTGTTCCCAACAGGCTGGGGCAGGAGTGTTCTGAGCTCCAGGAGGTTAATATTTTTTTTTTTTTAATTTTTTTTCAACGTTTTTTATTTATTTTTGGGACAGAGAGAGACAGAGCATGAACAGGGGAGGGGCAGAGAGAGAGGGAGACACAGAGTCGGAAACAGGCTCCAGGCTCCGAGCCATCAGCCCAGAGCCTGACGCGGGGCTCGAACTCACGGACCGCGAGATCGTGACCTGGCTGAAGTCGGACGCTTAACCGACTGCGCCACCCAGGCGCCCCAAGGAGGTTAATATTTGATCTCAGAGCACCAAGCTGCGAGGAGGGCTGTGCTCTAAGGGTGGCCAAGGTTCTAGACTGCCCAGACCTGGAGCCAACCTACTCTGGGGCTGCCTCCTTGCTGGCCTGTTGCTACAGGAGCCAAGGAGGCATTTTCTCTGACCTTGGATTCTCGCTTGACTAAGTGGCTTTCCCAGCCAAACCTCAGGGCTCAACATAAAACAAGTTCCTACCTGATGGCTCAGTCTGGAGTTTGTGGTGCAGCATCTAAAACCTGTCCTCTTGTGGAGAGCATACAGGAACTTTCTCACTTTTGTCGTCCAGCTTTGAAAAAAGATGTGTGAGGGCAGTAATTTATGCCAGAAATTCATGCCAAATACTCCTAAGGGTTCTGTCCCTCCTCAGTTTTGTGAGAGGCTAAGACAGCTAGCTATGATCGTTAAGGAAAATTGAGATAGGACTAGATTTGTCTGAATATAGTCCCAGGAGGTCCAGGACCTTGTGGCCTTCTTTTAGCTCAGCGAGCCTACTAATGCCGTTTAGCTGGGAAGTCTTCCTTTTCCCCACACTTTGAGGCAGAAATGGATCTATTTTTAGGCTTGGATTAATCTCCTAGGTTTTGAGGGTCTCACACTCTGAGGCAGCCCACTTCGTTTCCCTCTGTGGCTTATGTCTTATAGATATTGCTGTCTTTCTGCTCTCGTCTTTTGGATGCTTGTTCTGAGCCTGGAATTGCATTGGAAAGATGGTGTGCTTTCTTCCCACAGAGGGTCTGGAGGAGCTGGTGAAACAGAAAGGCTTTCTGGATGGAGTCTATGCATTTGAGTATTACCCCAGCACCCCGGGGAAATACAGCATTGCCATCACGTGGGGGGGACACCACATTCCAAAGAGGTGAGTCTCCAGCTGGAGTTGCGTCTTCTCTGGAGGCGTGCTCAGTCCAGGGAAAGAGATCTGCTTTGTTGAAAACTTTTTTTTTTTTCCTCATAGCAGCACACAGACATTTGGCCTGTTCTCAAAAACAGCAGAAAGTCACTGTGGTTTCGGCTGCCTTGCTTTAAATCAAATGCTGGTGGTTTGGGGCTGGTGGAGGGCGGGGGGTGGGGGAAGCAGGGAAGTCAGAAGGAGCAGTAATAGAGAGCAAATGGGCTGTGTGTCTATATACCCTTATATAAACTAAGATTCTCTTTCTTTCAATGTGTGCCTCTGTTCAGGAATGCCATGGGGGTAAAGTCTGCCATGGTTTACATTAAAATTCTCTACGTGAGTGCAGTCACGAGCCAAGGGACGCAGACTCCAGCTTTGTCTTGTGGGCATCACAATTACCCTCCCCTGTTCATGTGTTTTCCAGCTTTCCTGGGGGCAACTTTAAACTCTGAATAAATTCCATTTACCTTGAGAAATATCTGGGCATTACAGGGTTCTGAGAATCTAAGCAAACTTTTTTTTTAAGTTTATTTATTTATGCAATCGCTACCCCCAGCATGGGGCTCAAATGAGCCCCGTGTTCTACTGACTGAGCCAGCCAGGCACCTCTCTAAGCAAACTTTCTTTTTTTTTACTCTCCCATATCAAAGTTAAAGCGTATTCATTCATGCAGGAGATAAAGCCTATTCAACCTAGTTTTCTTCTTTATAAGCAGGATCTAGAGAAGTATGCTGTCTCTTACCATCCAGAGCTCACAGTCTGGTGAGGTCTACATTCAAGGGTGAATGATCAGAAGGATATTGCAAGGCAGTGTGTCTTGAGTGCCCACCCAGTGGCCACCTGAGTGCCCTGAGGCAGCCACAGTCCTTTATATTGTTGACATAACAATGACCGTGGGGGCACCTGTGTGGAGGAAGGGGTTGGCTAGATAGACATTGGGACTGTAGGTAAAAGGAGGGGAAAAAATATGTGCAAACAACTTATGGCTGTTTGTAGTCTCTTCTTTGTTCTTCTTTAATGCTTTTTCTGTTCCTTTTCTCTTAGCCCCTTTGAAGTTCAAGTTGGCCCTGAAGCAGGCATGCAGAAAGTTCGTGCATGGGGCCCGGGCCTCCACGGTGGGATTGTCGGGCGGTCGGCAGACTTCGTGGTAGAGTCCGTTGGCTCTGAAGTGGGGTCTTTGGGTAGGTGGAAGCAGCTGGCCAGCGGCTTCTGGAAAGCTGAGATTACATGAGGCCTGGTCCCAATGTCAGGCTGAGAGTTGAGTCCTCCTCCAAGCTTCACTACCCTTAGCCCCCTTGCCTCCTGACCATCCATGGCCAGCTCTGGATACGGCTGTGGGATTGGGATTTTCATTTTCCTCTTGCCCTTCAAGTTGCCCTCTGCCTCTTCATTAATTCCAAGGACAGAGGTTTTCTACGGATGTTGTGCTTGAAACAGCGCTTGGAACATAATAGGCACTCTGCAAGTAATTGTTGCCTGAATTCTTAGTTTAGATGAATGAATAAATTTTGCTGAAATTTGAAATTTGGAGAATAAATATTCTTTGGAGCATAACAGAGTATATTTTATTTTACTTATTTTATTATTTTTTTTTAGTTTACTTATTTATTTTGAGAGAGAGAGAGAGAGAGGCAGAGATAGGGGGAGAGAGAGGGGGAGAGAGATGATCCGAAGCAGGTTCTACACTGTCAGAGCAGAGTTCGATGTGGGGCTCGAACCTACTAACTGTGATATCATGATCCGAGCCAAAGTCAAGAGTCAGATGCTCAACTGACTGAGCCACCCAGGCACCCCGATTTTAAATACATATCTGATGTAAATAGAATCACTTTAGATCAGTGGTCAGCAAACCTGCTCTATAAAGAACCAGATAGCAAATGTTTTAGTATTGTAGGCCGTATTCTCCCGGCTGCAACTGTTTAAGTCTGCAGTTGTAGCACAAAAGCAGCCATAGAAAATATAGAATTGAAGGAATGCGGCTGTGTTCCAGCAAAGCCTTATTTACAAAAACAGGTACTAGGTCAGTTTGGCCCACTGGCCATAGTTTGGTGACTATGTGTTTTAGGTAGTAAAAATAAGCAAACCAGAAAAAATAAGAAATCACCTTTAGTGTTTCCTTCTAGAGGGATAATGAGTGTTTTGGTATGATATTAAACCTTTTGGCATATCCTTCCAGATGTTTTTTCTGTACATTCACACCTAAATATTGATATGCCACAAAAAATATCTAGGGGTAATCTTTGTATCTTGTGCCTCAGATAAATATAGACCATGTCTTGATTTTCCATGACTTCTTTGGACTTCCATTGCATGGATACGTCTACCATTGGGCTTTCCTGTTATTTCTGTGGTTTTCTTAAAGACACAATGCTGAGTACACATACTTAGTACCTTTGTTTACACATATCCTTGATTATTTCCTTCAGATGAAAACCCGGAAGAGGATTTGGTGGGGCAAGGGTGGGCATTGATTTAAGGTTTTGGTTGACCTTCCTTATTAGATGATGTTTAAAAGAAAAACAAAAAGCATAGTATAAAATCCAGCCCTTCCACCTCTTATAAAGGCTCAGTGGGCTTGTTTTTGTAGGAAAGGGGCACAGATTTCAGTCTTCTGGCTGATACTTGGGTTTGAGGGAGTGAGTTGGTAGTAACATAGAATAGGTTCTTTCCACCATGTAACCAGGGGTCCTTCTCACCCCATCCCCCAGGGTTTGCCATCGAAGGCCCCTCCCAGGCAAAGATTGAGTATGATGACCAGAATGATGGCTCATGTGACGTCAAGTACTGGCCCAAGGAGCCTGGCGAATATGCTGTTCACATCATGTGTGATGATGAGGACATCAAGGACAGCCCGTACATGGCCTTCATCCATCCAGCTGCAGGAGACTACAACCCAGATCTGGTGAGTCTGTTTGTTATGTTTCTGTGCTCTCTTCCTGGCTCCTGACCCTCTCTATGGTATCCAGAGACATGTTGAGGGATGGCAGAGAGGAGCCATTGAGAGTTTAGGAAGGACAGTGGTCTGAGCTAGGACCCTGGTAATACCACTTAGTACTTTCTTAATGCCGGGCAAATCTCTTATGTCTCTCTCTCTCTCTCTTTTTTTTTTAATGTTTTTATTTATTTTTAAGAGAGAGAGAGAAACAGAGCATGAGCAGGGGACTGGCAGAGAGAGAGGGAGACACAGGATCCAAAGCAGGCTCCAGGCTCTGAGCTGTCAGCACAGAGCCCGATGTGGGGCTTGAACTCGCAAACCGTGAGATCATGACCTGAGCTGAAGTTGGACATTTAACCAACTGAGCCACGCAGGCGCCCCCTCTGACTCTTGATCCTTTCTCTATAAAATGGGAATGATAGTAGCGTCTGTTTCCTAGGATTTCTGGGATGATTCAGGGGATCTAACATACATGAGGACAGTCCTTAGCCCAGTGGCTGGCCCATCCAGGGGGCTGCAGAAGCTGTTCTTCATAAATTAAACATGCTTTTTTCTCCCCAGCTCCCTTCTCTTAAATTGGAGCAGTGTTTCTAAGAGCTTCTGTCAAACTCTTAGGAGGCTGATAAACATCAAGTCTGAGGCAGCCTGGCAGCCAGGTGGAAGCTTCCACACTCCCATGTGTGCTATTGTGGCCCACCCGGGCAGCTGTTTGTAGGCTGATGTCGGTCTGGACTAGTTGCTATCCCTCTTTGGCCAATTGCTGGTCTTTTTTCCTCCCTGGGAGCTGCAAACTTTTGGAATGTCTGTGGTGAAGGTTCTGAGCCCCTGTCAAAGTGAGAACACTGAAACTGGGCATGGCTGGAGGTCCATGTCCTGGTCACTAGAAGTTCTCTATGTCAGCTCAGAATAAGGCAAGGAGCCCCAGGCTAGTTTGGGGCCTGGGTTTTGAGAATTTTCTTCCTCCTGGGAGGTTAAAAATACTATTTATAATTTTTGAGTTACAGCCTGCTAGAGCATTTTCCTTCCATATCCATCCTGTTATGTAGGTACTGTGAAGCCAGACACGGGTTGTTTTGTCCTTGTCTCATTCCCTGGTGGTCACTGGTCATTATGTAGGGGTATTGTTGGGGCATGGCACAGAAGGAGAATTATTATTGGCCCTTTGCCCCAGGTCCAAGCTTACGGACCAGGTTTGGAGAAATCTGGCTGCATTGTCAACAACCTGGCTGAGTTCACTGTGGATCCTAAGGATGCCGGAAAAGCTCCCTTAAAGATATTTGCTCAGGTAAGTTTCCAGGGGCCACCTGTGCAGATAACTGTCAGGTGACAAGATCTGTCACTATAGTGGCAAGTTGCTCAGTTCATCTGACCCTCAGTTCACTCATCCACACCTTGGGAATAACACGAATATTTATCTCATGGGGTTATGTGAGGATTAAATGAGATTCTAATATGTAAAGCAAGGTGATTTTCTCATCTTTGGGTTTTATATTCCTTGGAAACAAGGCTTGATTTCAGATTTCCTTGTAAATGTCCTTCAGTGTGGCTGAAGCTACCTAGTCCATGACAGGAGGTTTGTAAACAAGAATTTATTAAATATATTTATCTAACTTAATTGAATTTGGACCAAGGATTTAAATGCCGGAATTAAAATGAAGAAGTATTGAGTGGCCATGGCTTTATTTTTGGGTCATTTGCTTTTATTAAAAACAAATAAAAGCAGGCAGTATTTTATCACTTGTGGTGATTGCATTGTGAGAATGTGGCATATCATAGTTGCTCCGTGAAGATTTGTTGGATGGGTGGTGACTTGATTGTCTTGGGAAGCCATGGTGACCCTGTTTGATGAAGACAGTGTGAGGGGTCAGTTTCTGTTCTTAGCCTCTGCTCTTTTGCAGGATGGGGAAGGCCAGCCCATTGACATCCAGATGAAGAGCCGAATGGACGGCACGTATGCCTGCTCGTACACCCCGGTTAAGGCCATCAAGCACACCATTGCCGTGGTCTGGGGAGGTGTGAACATCCCTCACAGCCCCTACAGGGTAGGTTGTGAGACAGAATCCTGGCCATTGTATGAAAAAGCCAAGTCCTGTGGCAGTCTGGGCTGTATGCTGGATGGTCAAGGAGATACATCCTTGGTGGACCTTGACAGATGGAGTAGTTTGAAGGGCAGAGTACTCTAGATTGTCCAACAAAACTATTTCTAACAATGTTAACTAACAACGTGTCACTGGATCCAAGTGCAGGAAAACTTGGTTATAACTTTCTCCCATGTCCTCTTTAGGTCAATATCGGGCAGGGTAGTCATCCCCAGAAGGTCAAGGTGTTTGGGCCAGGCGTGGAGCGAAGTGGACTGAAAGCAAATGAGCCTACTCATTTCACAGTGGACTGTACCGAGGCTGGGGAAGGTGAGAGGGGGCTTCCCCCGGTGCAGTCATTGTTGCTCCTTGAGGAAGAACATTCTTTTCATAATGTTTGAAAGGCAGTGAACTTTGAGCCAAGAAATAGTGCACCTGAATAGGTAATTGTTCACCTAATGAGCCTCTGTGTCAGTTTCTTGGTCATATCTTTGCTAATCTTCCATCCCGTCTCCAAATCCCTGACTTAGCACCATCCCTTTGTCAGGTTTGTTACTGGAAGCTTCCCAATTGATTTTCTGGGGCGTTAGGTGAGCTGAGCTGGAAGTGATTGCATGGGACATGCTGTTTCTTGTACGCTGGTGCGCTCATAAGCTGGTCTGTTCCAGGTGATGTCAGCGTTGGCATTAAATGTGATGCCCGGGTGTTAAGTGAGGATGAGGAAGACGTGGACTTTGACATTATTCACAACGCCAACGACACGTTTACGGTCAAATATGTGCCTCCTGCTGCCGGGCGATACACTATCAAAGTTCTCTTTGCATCTCAGGTGTGTGTTTGGGCCTGGGTTCTTTCTGGCCACCTGTGTGTGTATTTCCTTTTTTTTTTTTATTTATTTTTATTTTTTATTTTTTTAGCAATAGGGCATTGTCTTGAGAATTCTGCTTAATAGTTTTCCTCTCTGGTTCCTTAACACCATGAAGGAAAAAAAAATAACCCCAGAATTAAGTTTTTACTACTTTCTAACCAAAGTGAGGCACAGTGTATTCAGTGGTTACAGCAGGGCTCTCTGGAAGGAGACTGGTTTGTTATAAACATTCATCAAGTTTTTGACTGAAATGTAATGAACTTCTAGAAGTGTTCTACTTCATCCTCTTTGAAGCAAAGGTTTTGGCCTTGGCCCTCAAACTTTTATAGGGAGAGGAGCTTTGAACTTTCAAATAGAGTTCATATTTACATGTGATAGTGAGGGTAAGGCAAGTGGTACCTAACATAGGGAATAGTGGACTCCCGATGATTCATATTAACCTCATGTAAAGATTGGAATCTTAAGAGAAAGTGCCTGAAGGTGTTGGTCTTGAATTAACTTCGGCCAGTTAAACTGTTCCACCTTTATTCTGATAATCTGCAACATTCTCTTTTAGTTTTTTAAAAAATGTTTATTTTTGAGAGAGAGTACAAGAGGGAGAGGGGCAGAGAGAGAAGGGGACAGAGGATCCAAAGCAAGCTCCGCTCTGACAGCACTGAGCCTGATGTGGGACTCGAACTCATGAATCTCGAGATCACAACCTGACCCGAAGTCAGATGCTCAACTGACTGAGCCATGCAGGCACCCCTGCAACTTTCTTTTTGAAGAATTATAGCCATTCTATTTCTGATTAGCTCCTTGCATTCCCCAAACCTTAGCTCTGAGCTGTACCTGGAGGACATTTCCTTCCCCGTGACCCCATCCATATGTTATTGTTTGGGTTTTATTCTTGGTAGTATTTCTTACATTCTAAGTACTCAACCTTTGTTGTTAAAGGCTCAGAGTTTTAAGATTCATTTGTGGGAAACCTTCCCTTAGCTGTGCAGTAAGCAGGTCAAAGCCTGTGATGTAGGGATCCAGGCATTCGTAAGTGACACCTGTTGGCCGCTACCTGAGGCTAGATTGCAAGGCTTGGCCCATGGTGACAGAAGTTTGCTCACCACCACCCACCAGAGTCACAGACGTCTCCCCCTTCATGTTGGGCAGAAAGCTAAGCTCTGGCAGATGCTTCAGGGACTTTCCTACTGAGACAGTGTCTCCCCTACAGGAAATCCCCGCCAGCCCTTTCAGAGTGAAAGTTGACCCTTCCCATGATGCCAGCAAAGTGAAGGCAGAAGGCCCAGGGCTCAGCAAAGCAGGTAAGACGACTCCTGGAGGCCTTCTACAGGCCAGTGGCAATGGACATGTTTGGTCCAGGGACCTCGAGGGACTCTTCTCCACCAAAGGCAGGTGTCTGTCGGGGCAGTGCTCCTGCCCAAGCTGTTGGCAGTGGCCAAGCACCAGCCCGTGTCGCTGACTACTTTGGTAGAGCTGGTGCTGAGGAACCCGTCAGACTGGTTGTAAAAGTGAAACCACTCCAACCAGGCCTGTCTCCCCACTTCACAGTATATCCTTCCAGGTGTGGAAAATGGGAAACCAACCCACTTCACTGTCTATACCAAAGGGGCTGGAAAGGCCCCACTGAATGTGCAGTTCAGCAGCCCCCTTCCTGGAGACGCCGTGAAGGATTTGGACATCATCGACAATTACGACTACTCTCACACCGTTAAATACACACCCACCCAGCAGGTAGGGTTCTTCCCATTCCCTTGTCCCCTGGCCCCCCACCCAGGCCCCTTCCCCCTCAGTGCTGTGCTGGGTACTTTGGACACCAAGGGTGTGATCTGTGCTCTGTTGTAGTGCTCCTCTGTGGGCTACGGCTTCTCATGCCTGTCATTCTGAGCCTCTCTGGGAGGTTCTGGCAAAAGGCCTGGTTGGTTCCGTGAGGAGGACCTGAAGGTTTCCCTAAGAACAAGCAGGAAGCTAGCCCGTATCTCCCCATCCCAATCTCCCACGTCCATTTTGGGTTTTAGCAGGGAAACTGTGAGCTCTTGGAATTCAGCACCTAGTATCTCCCTCTTATTTCACACACATCGCTCATCCTTACCAGCTGCCTTTCCTTTAGTCTTTTCTTAATTACTCACAGGGGAAGGAATGGCCATGACTCTGTTTTTCCTTGCTGGCCCTTTTACAAGGTGGTGTAGTGGGTCTCTCTCAAAGAGAATTCAGCCTTTAGTTCCTCGGCCCCGAAATAGTATATTTAGGGCCCCAGATTGTTCCCTTTGACAAAATTCAGGAACACAGACAGGATCTGACCATCCAGGCCACTTGGCTCTGATTATTTTAGGCAGGAAGCACCAAGGAAACACTCTCTCTGTGTATGCATTCATGTTAACTTGTTCAAAATTTCACTCCCTGGCCACACTTCTGGGGTCTGAAGAACAGATAACCCTCAAAAAAAGCCTGGATTTTACTACTTATGCATAGTGTTCTACACGGTCATTCAAACCTCTCAGATTTCTTCTTTCCTGAGGAAAACAGTCCCCCTGTGTGAGGTACCCTTTGTGGGAGAACAGGGATGATGCTTTCTGCAGAAACGCCACCTGAGAAGCATCACTCTTGCTTGGCCCTCTCAGGGAGGAGCTGCCTAGAGTCTCGTGGGAAGGAATGAGAGGTACAGTAAGGATTGGGGGGTGACTTAGGTATCCCCTTGCGCTGGGGGCTACACATCCTAGGAGGTGGAATCTTTACTCTGAGAGCCTCCCTGGCAGTGAGAGGGGTCCTCTGGGTGAGTTCTCATGTGCTGCAATATGGATGTGGCCTCTTATCTCCAGATGTTCTCCCTGTGGTTTTTGTTTTTACCTTAATGAGGGGTTCATTATTAGTGGTGGTAAAATTAATACTTTCGTAGGTAGAATACCCTTTACTCAGCAGGCCGCTAAGCGCTAAATGGGTAATTCTTTTCCTACTGATGCTTCAGAGGGCTGCTGGGAGCCTCACCATCGGGAGCACCAGCTTGACATCATCCTTATTGCCAATTCTCCACATTGCTTAGGAGAAGGTACCAGAACACATGGCCATGCACACTGGAAAGGTCACAAGGTCTTACTTAGACTCTTCTAGAACATTCTGAGACTCTTGCTTTATCCTGTATGTATAAACCTTTCTGGGTTTTGGCTCAGCTGCCACAAAGTAAGTTGCAGACATTAAGACAGAGTCAGGTTTTGACCTGCACCCTCAGAAGAGACTTAAGAACCTGTTGCCCTAGAAGCCCCAGCTGCCAGTTGGGGCAAGGGTGGCGGCTAGAGGGGGAGACTTCTTACTTCAAAGTCACCCCAAGGTCAAAGTCATCCAGTTCTGGATGACAGCAGGTTTGAGGGGTGTTGCAGGCTCAGTGGCCATTTGGAGCTATTTGTTCAGATGCTGCCTGTCATGTGTCTAAGGAGCCTGGCAGAGGCTTGGTGTGTCACTGCCTCCAATGTGAACGGCTCACATGTTCTTCTCTGGTCCCAGTTTGGTGTTTAGAGCAAGGTTTGCCATTCCATTATTTGGGCAACTTGCAGTTTAGCCAGTTTCTCTGTGGCAAAGGAAATAGATTGTATTTCTTCTCTTGGGGTGTGAGTTCCCCAAGGATGGGATACCATGTCATATATATACAAGCATATATATCTTTCCATCCCCAGTCTTGAGCATAGGGCCTGGTGCTCTATGTTCTCTGCATGGATTTATGCCTTAAAGCGTGAATACACAAAATAGAGCCTCTCCTCACAAGCAGAGACAACATAAGAACTTTGCACAAGAGTGGGGCCAAGCATCCTCATTTGCCTTTGATCTCTCTTTTCTGAAGAGCAGCGTACAGCTCCAGATTAGGTTAAATAAGCTTGCCTTTTGAGCCATGCCCTTGGATGTGGTTAAGAGGCCTGGGTCAGCCCAGAAGGCCGTGCCCAACGTGGAGGCAGGGAGCGCACTTTGAAGACTGATGCCCACAGGTGCACCTTCTTATGGTGGTTTTAGGGAATATCAGGCTGGAACTTTCCAGAAGTGTAGTTGTTTAGTGTGTGTGAAGAGACAGTGGTGGGTTCTAGCCCAGGGTGAGCTGTCGCCCTCAGAATGCAGGCTGTGCTGTATGAGGAGCTGTGGCCCCACCTGATTGCTGGCTCCCTGCTCCCTGCCACCTGCGGGCTGCTACTATCCCCTGCAGGGTCTCTGAGTGATGCCTCCCTGCAGCAGACCAGCATGGTCTCGTCGGAAGGTGGTGATCAGAGCTCCTTTTGCCTTGGTAGAGTGTCCTTGTTGGACTGGGGCTTGAGGATCCTCCAAAGGTCAGACAAAGGCTTGATTTCTTAGGAAGGAGAAGACACAATGCTCTATTCTCCCAGGGAGTTTGCCTTCTGTGCTTTTGGATGGCTGCGTCCCCAAAAGCCTTCAGTTTCTCACCCATACTCCCTCCCATAGAGCAAGTGCTTTGAGAAGCTGGTGGCAACGGCTCCATGACCTTCTAGGTCAGAAGCCACTGGGAATCAAAAACTCCACGTACTTACGGTGGGTGCCTTGAGGAGACCCTGTGAGTTCACTGAGCCCTACCTGTTCTGGAGGTCTCTGGAGGAGGGGGCTGTGGGGAGCTCACTTGGTCCTGTCCTCACCTGAGCTCGCAAGTCAGAGTCTTGTGTTCATGTGCTGTGCACGGTAGGATTAAGGTCTCAGAGGCACATAGGGGAGAGAATAAAACTGACCTGCAGTCAGCAGGGTCTTTGTGAAATGCACCAGTGGTCACTGCTCACACATTCCTGACATCACTACTCTCTCTGGTTGTTCCTTGGCCAGGCCTCACAGGAAACCTTAAAATGCTACAGGTCCTTGCAGGTGGTAAATCTCTTCAGATCTCTTCCTCCCCCTTGTTAAGTTATTTGAGGTTGAGTTAATTTCCTGGGTTTTTGTTTTGTTTTGTTTTATTACTGGTAATGAGAACACTTTTTTTTTTTTTTTTTAATGTTTATTCATTTTTGAGAGAGAGTGTATAAGCAGGGGAGAGGCAGAGAGTGAGGACAGAGAATCCAAAGCCGGCTCTGCACTGACAGCGGCGAGCCCCACGCGGGGCTTGAACTCACAAGCCGTGAGATCATGACCTGGGCTGAAGTTGGACACTCAACCAACTGAGCCACCCAGGCACCCCTGAACACACTTTCTTTTATGGGATGGGTAGGCTTAATTGAAAGAGGATTTTTCCTCCTTGTGTGGTGCACCAGAGACACAATGAGAAGACTTATAGGGGCTGGTGGGGAAGGAAGTTTTTCCATGACCTCTGGTTAGTTGTGAGGCCTAGCCCTCAAGGATTTAGGGACTTTGTGGGCACATTGAAGCTTGGGAAGAGCTGGTGTGATGAAATTGCCATGGTGGCTGAAGTAATGGATCACTCCCTGCCTTCCTCATTACAGAGAGGAGACCTTTCCTGTCCCTGGGCTGGCTCTCAGCTCTGTTGGATCTGACCTGTGTACATTTTACCACGAAATGTTACACCCTTGAGGCAGGGGGCCAGTTAGTGTGTTTGCAGTGCTAATAAATCCTGGAGAATCAATCCTCCCTCCTTCAATGATGGCAATCAATTTCTTTCTTGGCTTCTTCCCCCCTTTTTTATTATTATAAGCAATGTGAGAAAATATATATAGGCCAAAAGCTACACCCTTTTAACACTTGATCAGTGACAGCTTTCAGCAGAGCCTAAATTCTGGTGAGCCCCCAGATTTCCTCCACGTCCTCTTATGTTATGCCTGGATGTTTAAGGTGAGGGAGATCTTAATCTACTGAGACAGCCATGGGCTTTCATGGAGTCTTGGTTGGGCGGGGGGCAGGAGTTGCTTAGCTGACTGGGGAGGGGAAGCCTGACGTGAGCGGGCCAGGACTGGCCGGAGGAGAACATCCGTGGCACATATGGTCGTACTGTGCTCCCGTGACCCCTGGCCTACTAGCAAGGGGCCTGCCAAGCCCACAGATGTGGTCCCCTCTGCACTTGCAACTTTTCTTTCTTTCCTTGACATAGATGGAGTTTCGAGACTACACGGTGGTCCTAGAATAACTCCAGTCTGCAAATCCCTTTCACCATCTGGTGGCCTGAAATTGATTTCCAGAATGTAGAAAAAGCTGATGTTGTTCAGTTAGAGGCCCCCATACCCAGCAGCTTTCTCCATGGCCACAGTCAGGTGTGTGCTGGGTGGAGGTAGTGTGGCAGAGCAGCTGGGACACTGGTCTGGGTGCTGTGGGTGGGAGGTCCAACTCTCACACTTACCAGGTATGTGATTTGGGGCATGTGACTCTACCTCCCTGAGCTATAGTTTCCTTTCCTGAAAAAATGGAGATGACAGTGGGAAACCACCCCTTTGGACTGTTTGGAGATTGAGTCAAGGAAATGCTTAAAAGCACAGAGCACAGTAGGCTTATTAAGTCGTCTCTGTTGTTATAAGCTGCTCTGGTTTTATCTTTCTCGCTTGTTCTTGCCGTGGTGCCGGAAGCTTAGAGAAACGTATCTGTGCTGTTTCTTTCTTTCTTTCTTTCTTTTTTTTTTTTTAAGTTTATTGATTTATTTTTGAGAGAGAGAGAGGAAGAGAGAGAATGTGAGAGGGGGAGGGGCAGAGAGAGAGAGAGGGGAGAGAGAATCCCAAGCAGACTCCATGCTGTCAGCACATAGCCTGATGCAGGGCTCGAACTCACAAACCATGAGATCATGACCTGAGCCAAAACCAAGAGTTGGACGCTTAACTGACTAAGTCACCCAGGCACCCCTATATCTGTGATGTTTCTAAATCTACTGGAGTCAAGTGCCCCGTGTCACTGGAAGAATGAAGGATCTGGAAGGCAGGTTTAAACAACAAGTTAGATATTGGTGCCCAAAGGTGCACTCTGTTTCCTCTCGTTCCAGGGCAATATGCAGGTTCTGGTTACCTATGGTGGTGACCCCATCCCTAAAAGCCCTTTCGCCGTGGGCGTGGCTGCTCCACTGGATCTGAGCAAGATAAAAATTAATGGGCTGGAAAACAGTAAGTGTGTGGATGAAGGGGGGGCAGGTCACTGAAGACCATCAACTGGGGCTGCCAATTAGATTCCCTTCAAAGGACAGTTTGCAGAGAAACATTCTGCCTTAAGAGACTTTGCAGTGGGACAGACTTGGGTGTGGATTGGGGCCATGCTGTAGGAGAGCTCTGTGACCCTCCCTGACCTCTGTGACTTCACCAAGCCTCGGTCTTCTCATTTTTAGAGGCGGGGAGGGGAGATCAAGAACACTGACATTCACAGGAATATTTTGAAAGTTAAATAAGAGCTCCTGATTCAGGGGCTGGCACATAGCCAGGCCTCCGTAACTGCTGGCCTCGCAGTGGGATGCTTTCATTACATAGAGAAGTTGGGACACATTGATTTCTGGTGAGTTTCTACTGTGCTAGTTGTCCTTGGCCATGGAATCCACACGAGGGTAGACAGTCTAGCATAAAAGCCAACTCCCTGGCGCTCAGAAACCACAAGTATGATGCATCCCTCCAGCCCCATCCCAGTATTCCTTTAGCTTGGTAGGTATCTTATCAGTACAAACTCATTTCATTTATTTTAAAATGTTTCAATTTATTTTATTAGGGAAAATTCCAAACATACAAAAGTAAAGACCATAGTATAATGTGAACACTGATGTTGTTATCACCACCTTCAGAAGTTCAACACGTAATCATAGAATTATTTTTTTATACAAGTAATGCATAAATCCACTTTCATCTAAAAAACATCACAGTTGAGAGTAAACTCCACTCTGCTACCTTTTTTTCTCCCTTAGGTTAACCAGAGTTTTCAGTTCAGTTTTTATCCTTCCAGACCTTCTCTCTGCATCTATATGTGCATATGTGCCAGCAGAAAACATTTGGCAATGTTTATTTTGCATTAAAATTATCCTGCCATACCCGTGTGTCTTCAGCCTGCCTTTTGACATCAGCACTGCATCCTGGAGAACACGCACACCTATGTCCCCTTGTTGGCATGAGCTGCTGTGTGGCTGCAACCCAGCCATGCCTCGGTGGCACACATTCACCTGATTTCAGGGTCACGTGGGGCTCAGCACATACCCCCCCAAGGCAGGCCTCTTTGGTCTCAGTGGACCTTTGATGAGCGCCTTCACTGACCTGTGACCCAAATGCATGAGCCACCTCCCAGCTCTGGGGTCTCTGAAGCAAGAAATGGATGCTGGCTTTGTCCCTGGAGGGCAGCCAGCTCTGAGCATATGAATCGTCACTGTCCAGTCCTTTTCATGTGTCTCCTCGTTGTTGCTTTTTCTCTAAGACACTTAGGGCTTCAGTTGCAGACCAGGCAAAGCACAATGGCGATTAGAAAAGCCTTTGGGCCATGGCGCTCTGAGGCTCCAGAGTCAGGAATTCCCTGGCTTGTGGCGGAGGCCCTGTGCTCCCAAGTGCTTTCCTTTTGGTTCAAAGTCCTTCCCCTGTTTTTGTCAAATACAGCACATGGGTTTTCTGTGGCCCTGCTTTGCAGAGAACTTTCAGATATCAGCGCAGTACAGAGAGTCACTTCCTCAGACTCGCCCCAGTGCCCCTGCACCGGCCAGCTCTGTGACTTTTGCCTTGTTGGCTGTAGGATTAAATTTGCTGCCAAGAGTTAGTAAATAAAACATTGGCCTATGGGAATGTTTTGATATAAAGTTAACACCTGAAGTAAGTAGAGGACAGTGTCAGATTATAATTTACGAGTCAGCAGAGCACATTGTGAGATCAGGTAAATTTATGTTTGAGTCCCACCTTTCTGGTCTGCTGGGTGTCACCCTGGACACATTCCTTAACCTCTCTGAGACTCAGTTTTCCCATCTGTTAAAGCCATCGCTGACAAATACCCCATGGGGTTGTGTTAAAAATTAAATGAGATGATGTGCCAGGGTGTAGAGTGCATTCAGTACGTGTCAGCTATCATTGTTATCAATATCATCATTAATTAATAATTGTTCTTGTACTGGTTATTATCCAGGTACATGCTGATTATCCCTACTCAGTCTTGCTTCTTGTCCTCGCTATCAGCCACTGCTTGTTGCCTGGGCTGAGATAACACCTCATGTCCAAGGAACTGTCAGTTTTTTGCTCTCGGTTGTTCTTGTTGCTGAAAAGGGTCAGCTCATCACTTTGGCATGTTCCCCTTTTCCAGGAGTCGAAGTCGGGAAGGGCCAGGAGTTCGCCATTGACACAAACGGGGCAGGAGGCCAAGGGAAGCTGGATGTGACGATCCTGAGCCCCTCGAGGAAGGTCGTGCCGTGTCTGGTGGCGCCCGTGGTGGGCCGGGAGAGCAGCACAGCCAAGTTCATCCCTCGCGAGGAGGGGCTCTACGCTGTAGACGTCACCTACGATGGACACCCCGTGCCTGGGAGCCCCTACACGGTGGAGGCCTCACTGCCACCAGATCCCACCAAGGTTAGCTTGTGTTTTTGTACCAGGATGTGTCTCCTGTTGTCAGATATAACACTGTGGTCCTTCACCCATCCTGCTTGACAAAGACCTTTAGAAAATCATTTTCTGAGGAAAGTCCATTCTCAACGACTGACGGAAGTTTTCTGTCTTACAGTTCAGCCTTGGCTTGGGGGGGGGGGGGGGGGAGCGGGTCGTCCCTGGGCAGCTTGCCGTCCTTCCCACTGCTCGTCTTCTCTCTCTCTCTCTCTGGTGGTGAGGCTTCGGTGAGGGCCTCGTCCCTGGGTTCTAGCCCTTCGTTTGCTAGCATAATAATGGGTGAGCCTGAATGGGTGAGGTGAGATAGTGTGGGTGGAGGCCAGCGTCCAGCATGCAGAGTGAGCTCACCCTGCAGAAGTTGTATAATACAATATAAAAATATATGAGTGGGGCACCTGGGTGGCTCGGTCAATTAGGCATCTGACTCTTGACCTCGGCCCAGGTCACAATCTCATGGTTTGTGGGATCAAGCCCTGTGTTGGGGTCTGCACTGACAACACAGAGCTTGCTTGGGGTTCTTTCTCTCCCTCTCTCTCTCTCTCTCTGCCCCTCTCCCGTTCAAATTCTGTCTCTCTCTCTCTGAAAAAATAAACATTCAAAAAAATTTTTTTAATAAATAAATTAAAAAAAAATTTTATTAGATTTTTGTTTTTAGAGCAGTTTTAGGTTCCTAGTAGAATTGAGAGGAGGGTACAGAGATTTCCCTCATACCTCCTGTGCCTGCATGTGCACAGCCTCCCCATTATTACCATCACCCAGCAGAGTTCTACGTTTGTTCTAACTGATGGACCTATGCTGACATCCTGTTCACCCCAAATCCGTAGTTTGCACAAGGGTTCACTCTTGGTGGTCTACATTCTATGGGTTTGGACAAATGTAGAAGGGCAGGTATCCACCACTGCAGTTTTTTATTATGTGGAGTTTGTTGAGGGAGGTGTAGCCTTCCAAGCAACAGGGAGGCCCATAAAACCATGCTACAAGCGTTCAGCCCCGCGTGTGTTTGTTAGTCTCCACCTCCAGCCCTGTGGTTCGGGAGTGCTGGGCATGGCAGAGTGGAAGTCACATGCCGGTCTTCAGAGGGCCACGCCTCGGTGCTGTAGCTTTCAGTGTTGACTGAGCTTGCAGCCGTGTCTCCCTTTGGTAGCCATCTGCAGCCTGGATTGCACCATGGCTCTAACTCGGGTCTGTGTGACATGAGTTAGGCCCCAGGGAGAAGGGCCACTCAGCTGAGAGGCCTGATTGCAGGCTGGGGTGTGAGGTGGTGCTGGCCGAGCAGCCACTCCAGCATCAGGCACAGTTCGACTTTTATTCTCTGTTCAAATAGGTGAAGGCCCATGGTCCTGGCCTTGAAGGTGGTCTCGTGGGCAAGCCCGCGGAGTTCACCATCGACACCAAAGGAGCGGGCACCGGAGGCTTGGGCCTCACCGTGGAAGGCCCATGCGAGGCCAAAATTGAATGCTCTGACAATGGCGATGGCACGTGCTCTGTCTCCTACCTGCCCACAAAGCCCGGGGAGTACTTTGTCAACATTCTCTTTGAAGAAGTCCATATACCTGGTTCTCCCTTCAAAGCCGACATTGAAATGCCTTTCGACCCCTCTAAAGTCGTGGCTTCGGGGCCAGGTCTCCAGCATGGGAAAGTGGGCGAAGCTGGGCTGCTGAGTGTTGACTGTTCGGAAGCAGGGCCCGGGGCCCTGGGCCTGGAAGCCGTGTCAGACTCGGGAGCGAAAGCCGAAGTCTGTATTGAAAACAACAAAGATGGTACCTATGCAGTGACCTATGTGCCCCTGACTGCCGGCATGTACACACTGACCATGAAGTATGGAGGCGAGCTCGTGCCCCACTTCCCTGCCAGGGTCAAGGTGGAGCCCGCTGTGGATACCAGCAGGGTCAAAGTCTTTGGGCCAGGAATAGAAGGAAAAGGTAGGTTTCATAAAGAGAGGGAAGCTGCAAAATAGCTTGGGACTTAGGGGTCCCCAGAAGCTCAGAGTGGAGCTCTGAACTCATATGCTCACTGGGGCCAGGTGGGGTGTAGGAAAACACCTATGCTCCTGCATCCAGAAGAGAAGGACCACGGCAAAGGAGTGGGCACATGGCATTTCTGCTGCCTGACCCTCACGTTGTTTCTCTGTGGAACAGGGCCCAGCACTGCCTGCAGATTTTCCTGTTTCTCTGGCAGAGTTAAAAACCTTGATTTTTATGTGGAAATTCAAGATCTTTCATTTTTGACACTGAATTGAAAAGGTTTCAAATGTGGTGCTAATATCACACTTGCTGCAGAGCAGATCTGTCTTTGTCCTTTAACCTGTCCCCAGACCCCACCTTTGTCCAAAAAGTGTACAAGTGGTTGTGTTCTCACTGGGGCTTCCACAGACTACCCGGGAGGAAGCAGCTTTTGCAAGGTGGTGGTAGGGGGAGGTGGTCATTAATACTGTTGATTTTGAGAGTCAGAGAAAACAGTTGTCTGCTGTCACTGAAACTAGACCTAACGTATCTGAAGTGCAAGAACCTTGGTTCTTGGATTTGGTCCTGGGTCCCAGGTATTGGTGACGTTCTTATCTGTGTGATTGCTCTGCAGATGTGTTTCGTGAGGCCACCACCGACTTCACGGTCGACTCACGGCCCCTGACACAGGTTGGGGGTGACCACATCAAAGCCCATGTTGCCAACCCCTCAGGGGCCTCTACCGAGTGCTTCGTCACAGACAATGCCGATGGGACCTACCAGGTGGAGTACACGCCCTTTGAGAAAGGTGAGTTGATTTCTCCTTGGACATGACCCTTGTTCATAGCTGTGCTGGGCCATTTCGTTTGGTGACTGGTGTTGACTCCTGCCTCATGCGTCTGGCCTGTCTCAGCAGAGGCATGTACAAAGTGACAGGGACATGTGGAAATCTCCCTCCCCTATAATGCCTCCTTATATGTTGACACTTGGGCCAGGTTTAGCCTCAGGCTCACCCGAGCAGGTTATGAGTGATGTCATGCGTATTGCTCATTTGTAGAGTTTGTTTTATGTCATTTATTTCTTGAATATTAAAATTATTTAAAAATTTGAGGGGCATCTGGGTGACTTAGTTAAGCGTCCGACTTTGGCTCAGGTCATGATCTTGCAGTTCATGGGTTTGAGCCCCACACTGGGCTCTGTGCTGACAGCTCAGAGCCTAGAGCCTGTATCTCCCTCTCTCTCTGCCCCTCACCCACTCACACTCTGTCTCTCAAAAATAAACATTAATAAAAACATTTTTTAATTTGATAAATAACAAAAAGGCAAAAAATTAAAAGTACCATATATCCTCATTACTTGGATATGTGATTCCTATAAATATTTTGGTGCAGATACTTCCAATCTCTTTATGTAAATGCATGTATATTCTATTTCATGGATTCCCCCTTTGTCTCTTGGCTAATGACTGCATGGAGTGTTTCCAGATCAGGATAATACATTTAAGATGACTAACTTGAATACAGATGTAGTGATATTTGCTTGGAGGAGAGACCTTGTGCATATGTGTGTCAGGGAGGGAGAGTTATGTGTCCGTCAGGTGAACAGAAAGCATAAATAAACAAGTGCATTTATTTTTTTATTTTTTTTTTTTATTTTTTTTTTTCAACGTTTATTTATTTTGGGGGCAGAGAGAGACAGAGCATGAACGGGGGAGGGGCAGAGAGAGAGGGAGACACAGAATCGGAAACAGGCTCCAGGCTCTGAGCCATCAGCCCAGAGCCTGATGCGGGGCTCGAACTCACGGACCGCGAGATCGTGACCTGGCTGAAGTCGGACGCTCAACCGACTGCGCCACCCAGGCGCCCCAAACAAGTGCATTTAAAAAGAATCAAATCATACCGATGTTGTACTATTTCTTTAACCCACTTGTTGCAAATAACATGGTATAGCAGGTAGGTGTGGGTACTAGGTGAAACTCTGCAGTAGAGTGTTATTTCCCACAAATAGGTGACTCCTGTACAAATATGTTTCTGTTTGTTGTTTTTGAACAGGTCTCCATGTAGTGGAGGTGACCTACGATGATGTACCTGTCCCAAATAGTCCCTTCAAAGTGGCTGTAACCGAAGGCTGCCAGCCATCTCGGGTTCAAGCCCAAGGACCTGGGTTGAAAGAGGCCTTTACCAACAAACCCAATGTCTTCACCGTGGTTACTAGGTAAGCAGGATCCTGGGTTCTGTGTGTTGACTCTCTAAAAAGAGTAGGTTTAGGTAGTTTAAATGCTCTGAGTTTTACGGGTGTATTCTGCATATGTGTCATGGAGTCTGGTACTCAAAAAGTTACCAGAAAGCCCTTGGTGATAGTCATAAAATTGCTGAGCAAACCAGAACTAGATGGAAGCGCCTTAACTTGATAATGCAGAAATATATATAGCCAATCTCATAGTTAGGTGAGATATTAGAAGTATGCCTCCTGTGGGGCGCCTGGGTGGCTCAGTTGTTTGGGCATCTGACTCTTGATTTTAGCTCAAGTCATGATCTCAGGGTTTGTGAGTTCGAGCCCGGTGTCAGGCTCTGCACTGACAGCGTGGAGCCTGCTTGGGATTCTCACTCTGTCCCTCTCTCTCTGCCCCTCTCCTGCTGTCTCTCTCTCTCCCCCACCCGCCCAATATTAGCATTAAAAAAAAAATTTTTTTTTAATCAAAAGAAGAATAAGCATCGGAAAGGAGAGGTTAAATCTGTCTTATACTGTTGAGAAATCTTCTGTGTGAGAGGTGTCACAGTAGTTGAGTCAGGTTGGCTACGTGGGATCGTTTATAGAGGGATTTTAAATAGTTTTGGCAATAAGCAGACTAGCATGAACCACTAGTACCACTGTGCTTTCTTCTCCACACTTTCCAGAGGGGCAGGAATTGGTGGGCTTGGCATAACTGTCGAAGGCCCATCAGAGTCGAAGATCAACTGCAGAGACAACAAAGATGGTAGCTGCAGTGCTGAGTACGTCCCCTTTGCTCCAGGGGACTATGACGTTAACATCACATATGGAGGAGCCCACATCCCTGGTAAGGCTTCCCTCAGAAAGGTACCCAAAGAACAATTGATTTTGCGTGAAAGCAGGTTTTGTTTTGCTTATCTCTGAGTGGAGAAAGAGTCTGATATTTGCAGTAACTGCAAAGGGAGAATTTTCTTTATGGCTGCATCTCCAAGAATATCCCAACTGCCAGGAGGACCAGTAACATGGCAGAACACATTGACTTGGCATTTTGACTGCAAATGGTTGCTCACATGTTGGAGGACCTAATTTAAGTGAAAGCTGATTTTTTTTTTTTTTAGAACGTTGAAAATCTCCATTTTATTCTATGGTTGGTTCTTGCGCACCTTAGGCGTGTTTTCTTACTTTCTGTTTTTCATTGACAGTCCTGGTAGCCAAAAGAGACACACAGACTCAAATTTTTATGTATTAATTTCTTTTCTATTTAATGACGTAGTATATGCACTGGCTGTAAAACAGGGTTTGTTGGGTGCCTGGCTGGCTCAGGAGGTGGTGTATGCAGCTCTTGATCTCAGGGTTGTGAGGTTGAGTCCCATGTTGGGTTGATGAGATTACATAAAAAATTGGGAGTGGGATAATTCTTTGTTGTGGGGAGGCTGTCCTGTGCATTGTAGGGTATTGAGTAGCATTCCACCCCACTTCGTTTTGTGACAACCAAGAATGTCTCTAGATATTGCCAAGTATCCATTTGGGGACAAAATCATCCCTAGTTGAGAACCACTGCTATACATGATTGAAACAATGAAGAAATATATGACTTAAGTGGCAAAGGGCCCTCCACCTTTCATGCTCCAGGGGAGGGATTTTCATAGGTTCTCCTTCTGCTTATTTAGTGAAACAGTTGCCACTCAACACAGATCTAGATGGGTAGGTGACTGTGGTATGGAGTGGACACAGGTAAGGACTCTAGGGGCTGCCTCTGAGTCAGCCTATGCCTTGGCTTAGATATGTTGAGAAAGAGGTCAGAACCCTACCCCCAAGACTCCTGGGGCAGGAAGAGCCTTGGGTTGGTCAGTATTATTCTTGCCCTAAAAGTCATAAGCCAGGGTGAGACTGAAGGGGAAGGACCAGGCTGAGGAGCTTACTTTTGGGTTTCTGACTTGACTCCCAGGGAAGTGGAGTGTGCATTGACCAAACAGTTTCCTGAATCTGTACGTTTCCCCCCTTTATTACATGCAAATGTGTGCACACGTTCAAACTCACTCTTCCTCTCACGTTGATCTCAAAGCATTGACATTCAGCTCAAATTAATGCTCCTCAGATGTTCATTTAAGCTTTAATTTTATGAAGGCTTAGATATTCTTTGAAGGCTTAAGTCTCTTTAAGTTTAAGAAACTTAAATTGGTAAGTTTCTCCTCAAACTTGGCTTTGCAGCTGATCATAGCTTTCTAAATCCCTATAAGCACTAGTCAAGACGCATTCAGTCATGGACAAGACAGTCAAAGCTCTTGAGCTCCGGGAACTTCCTGGCTGGTGTTTATGTGACTTCTCCTGATAACTGCTACAAAGAAAGAACAGGGCTCAGTGACAGAATGCAGAGCCTTGAGTATCTTTTGGAGCTCTGCAGCTCTGCAGTTGGGGGGATGGTAGAGGAGAGTACAGAGAACAGATGGAAGGCTGTTCTCAGGAGAGATGATGTGGTAGGTATCCACATCATCACCCAGGCAGGGAGCAGTGGAGAAGACAATCTCCTGGTCGTGGAGATAACAACACCGTTCTGACTTTATTGGGAAGGTCTGGTGGATGCCATCAGCTTTGGAGTTCCCCTTGCAGAAGAGGGGTGCGGGCTTGGGCCCCTGTGGCTGATGCAGGAGCATGAAGCAGACGGCTATCTTTGAGAATTACAATAAAGAGAGACCCACTTGGAATTTTCTTACCAGAGGTAGATGGTACGTTGTCATGTTTCAGACTCTCTGTTGCCTCTCAGAGCTGAATATCAGCTTTTCCCAGATCCCAGGCCCTTCCCAGGCAAAGTTATTTAGGAAAGTGTTGGTTAGTTGTCTTAGTATTGGGCTGCTTAGCTAAGGTAACTCATGTGGTGTTGAGCTGTGAAACATACCTGCTAGCTTCTGATTTGCTCTCATGGGAATTCTGATTGGTTAAACATAGTCCAGTATTTCCTGGCCTGGTACAGACCTGTAGTGGAGTTATTAGTTTACCCGCTGTGGCCTATTAGTTTCCTCTGGTGGGCCAGCTGTGGTCGGTTGGTGGTGGTTCTTAGATCAACTGGATCAACTGGGATAAGGGCATCAGGAAGAAGAGCTGCTGTGATTGGCTTTTGATGTCTGCCTGGGGCACAGCATGGGGGGCAGGTAATGCTTGGTATCTGCCACCTCATACCTCGGGTCTAAAGTCATTTTGTTAGTTCTTGGCTACTCTCATGCAGAGTTCAGACACCTTCCAGTGGGGGCTCTGACTTGGAGATCAGCCTCAGGGGTAGTCGATGGCCATCACCTGCTGACACTGAAATTCTCAGCCGTTTCTCTGTAAACTGAAGCTCCCTTTTGTTTCCCTAAACCCAAACATGGAGGGTGATGTTTGTCTTTGCCAGGGTCAGCCATTTATTTCAGCCAGCTGAAAACTTTGATGCCGTCAAAACCCAGCTATTGCTAAAAAGCCAAGGTCTCTGTTCTTTGTGGGATCTTGTAATGTACCACCCCTAATTCTACAACAGATAAATTGGGGGGGATGCAAAGCAGAGACACCTGAGTTTGTGTGGCAGTTAGAAGTCATTAATTTTGCCAGCCTTCTTGGGGAACACAAGGACTTCTGCGCACAGCGAGAGATGCATATCACTGCCCCTCGGTGATGGACTTGGAAGCCAGAGGGGAGCATGATTCCAGAGCCATTGGGGCTCCCGTTTCTGACTCAGCTCTGAGGAGGTCTTCCTCTGTCCCCCTTGGTGGGGGAATCCCATGAGGGTCCCTGGTCCAGCCCTGGCTTCTCTGTTCAGTGCTCGTCTTGCAAATCCTGATCACACAGCATTTTCTGTTAACTTGGTCTTTAAAACAAATACCTTCAAAGAGTCAGAGGACCACAGCTGACACGGAGAAAGCAAGGGTTCACCCAATGACCAGGGAACCAAGCAGGCTACGTTGCTGGGGGAGGATTCCAGGAAGCCCTCGGGAGCTGTTTGGGGAGAGAATATTGAATGTGGGCCAAAAGGCCTCCCTGCCTCTATAGCCCTTTCCACTTCTTTCTTCCACCACTCAACTGTCTTCCTTCATTTTCCTCAATAGCCTGTCTTTCCCCTCACCTCCAGTCCTCTGCATATGCCCATCACAGCTTAAAACCCTTCTCCATCTGCTTCCTGGGTGCTATCTGTTCACTCTCATGTTTCAGCTTCAGTGTCACTGGAAAGCTTCCCCTGGCCTCCTGAAGACTGGACTCATTGCCTTCTAAGTGCCCCACCAGGGCTTGTCCATGCCCTTAACATGTTATGTGATAGTACAGTGCCTTGTGTGCCTCGCCCTTCTACATTGTGGGTTCCTCAAGGGCCATTAGCCACTCTGGGCCCAGCACCTGGCACAGTGTCTAGATGGAGTGGATGCACATGGGTGCACATACAGCAAGGTGGGGGGCACTGACTGAGGTCCAAACCACCAAGGGCCCATGTGGAGCAGCAGTGTGATTCTGGGTGCACACAAGGCAAGGCTCCCGTGCTCAGAATCCTGTGACTTGTTTTCCAGGCAGTCCCTTCAGAGTTCCAGTGAAAGATGTCGTGGATCCTAGCAAGGTCAAGATTGCCGGCCCCGGACTGGGCTCCGGTGTCCGAGCTCGCATCTTGCAGTCTTTCACAGTGGACAGCAGCAAAGCCGGCCTGGCCCCACTGGAAGTGAGGGTCCTGGGCCCACGAGGTGAATATGCATCCTGCCCCCCTGCTGACATTCACCTGCCCCAGATGGGGGCAGCTGTGAGCCACAGCAGGCACTTTACTTTTGAGTTTGGTCATGAACTTAAAATTAAATTTCTTAAATTGCTTTATTGCTCCATACTCTAAACAGGAGAAGCTCCTGCTTAATAAGCAGGCAGACCTCTTCTTTCTCTAGTGGTCTTTCCCCTATTTAATAATATGGCTCTGAGTGTCTTTTTAAATTAAAAAAAATTTTTTTTGATGCTTTTTATTTATTTTTTTTGAGAGAGAGAGAGACAGACCTGAGCCCCAGGGGAGGGGCAGAGAGAGAGGGAGACACAGAATCAGAAGCAGGCTCCAGGCTCTGAGCTGTCAGCACAGAGCCCAATGTGAGGCTCAAACCCGCAAACCGTGAGACCATGACCTGAGCCAAAGTCGGACACTTAACTGACTGAGCCACCCATGAGCCCCTCTAAATGTCTTTTTAAATTTTTATTTTTCTTAAGTAGTGAGATGAAGCAAGTAGTCTTTGGGCTCTCCCATGTAATACTGTTAAAACTGCTTGATTACACATTTCAGCATTTGTGAGGTGACTGGGGTTGGTCTGGAATTTGGGTGGGCAATGGGGTTGGAGGTGATAATTTTCTTCGAGGTGCCTTTGTGCCCATGTGGAACACACTCCAAATTTCTGGAAATGACAGCTACTCCTCCCATGCGACACATGGCTTTGTCATTGTCCCAACTTCCTGGAGGGAGAGGGTCTCTTGGGAAATGGCCTTTGTTGCCAGTTTGGCCTGCCCTGTTGGCAGCCTGGAACGCTGGGGTTCAGTAAGGCTAGCAGGCCATTTTGGGACAAAGCCCTGAAGTGCATTGAAGTTTACCTTATTTGGTAGACGATCACATTTCCTCTTCTAGCATTTAAAGTGTGCCATTCTCTGCTTAATTTCTTAAATTATCTGGATTTTTCCCCAGTGATGTGTTCTTGGCTTCACAGAAATGGCAATTGGGGGCTTCCTTCTTTGAAGAGGAACTTTCTCCTTAATGGGGTTCAGCAGGAGGTTATGCCCTTTGAAGCTCAGGGCAGACGTGGTTTGAGGGAAATGAGGTCATGGGGCTGGAATCTGATTCTAATAGTCACTCAGCTTGTATGACCTGTGTGTGTGTGTGTGTGTGTTGTGTGTGTGTGTGTGAGAGAGAGAGAGAGAGAGAGAGAGAGGAGGGGGGTGCTTTACTTAGATATCTACCTCTATTATATTATTATGGAGGATTCTGAAGTAACAGCCTTTTAATTTTAGTTGATGAGGTGGATTCCCAGTCATGGCGCAGCCCCTTGAAAGCCATTTCAGAGTTCTTTAAAGGTGACCCGAAGGGTGACTTTACGGAGACAGGTTTGCATTTTCCTATTGCCTGCTGCTCTAATTTATGTGACCTGACTGCCTCTTGCTGGCTTCATCCTTCAAATTGCCTTGCTCCTGCCTCCTCTGCTTTGCATACTGAGTAGACCATGCTTTGCTTAACCTACTCTGCCGTTAACCCATCCTTGATGCTCACGTTCAGAACTGGGATCTGGAATCTACCAACCCAATGCATGCCTCGATTATGTTTTAACATAGTCTCTAACCATCCCCTATAGGCATCACTTTGAAGGTCCCCTCACCCCATGAGATTGACACCCTCACCTGTCCTGCACCTATGCCCATCCTGCCGGCGCCATACTGGTCTTTGATCAAAGGTGGCCATAAGTCTTGACTGGCCAGCCCACTGGTTAATTTTTTCTGTTCAGAATTGTGGACTCTTTGGCCCTTCCTCAGCTATACAGTAAAATTGCCACATCCCAAGCATGCCTAACCAGCTTGAAAGGGTAGAGCATGTCTGCAACATGCATCTTTGCACAAGCATGGGCAGTCTCCTTAATTATACTCAAGGGCTGACTGAGTGTACTTTAGCCAACAGAAAGCTAAAGGTGTCTCTTGGGGTCATTTCTGCAACCATGAATTGGGGATCCTGTCTCCTGTGATTTCTCAGGCCTCTGATTATGGCCTGCCTGCCTTAATGTTACTCATCAGTGGAAACCAATGTGATTGGTTTGGGGATGAATGTGATTCTGTTTCAAACTCAGCCCAGGGTGGAGTGAAGGAGAGTCCAAGCAGTTCCTCAGACTTCTCATTTCTGTTCTCAGGCCTGGTGGAGCCGGTGAACATAGTGGACAATGGGGATGGCACACACACAGTGACCTACACCCCATCCCAGGAGGGGCCTTACATGGTCTCGGTTAAATACGCTGATGAAGAGATCCCTCGTAGGTAAGCTCCTGACACTTACAGAAGGGGGTCCAAACCAGCCTGAAGCCTACTCCTCTGCAGGATTGACCAGCACTGCCTTGGTGATCCACTCATCCATTCATTTATCCATCTGTCCATCCACCTATCCACCCACCCATTGGTCTATCTACCCATCTACCCATCCATCCACCCAACCATCCATCCATCCACTCAACCGTCCGTCCATCCATCCATCCATCCATCCATCCATCCATCCATCCATCTATCCATCCATCCATGCACCCACTCACCCACCCAGCCATCTATCCACCCATCCATCCACCCATCAGATCAGCAGGTATCACCGAGAACCTGCATGTTCTGCACAGGTATATCAATACACTAGCTTTGATATTTGTGTCTGCTCCTTTCTTAGCATCCTGTTTCCTCCTACTTTGTTCTTTTCAGCCATCTTTAATTTAAAGACAAGCTAAAATTAAGGAGTTGGGAATCTTCGAAGAAACAAGGAATGCATTAATTCATCAAAGTCTTCTTTCTGGTGGCCTTGCAAGTAGTTTTCTGATTAGGACAAAGATTTTTACTTTTTGACTTCTTTACTTTTTTTTAACTTTTTTACTTCTTTTGAGGATTTGGTTGGCAATAGCATTCCCAGAGGGTGTTGGATAGAAACCTATTCCTCAGTCATATTAATATGAAATGTTTCCTACATTCTTCCACTCTCCAAACAGCCTCTGAAGGTTTCTTTTTCTACTCCTTAAGATGAAAAAATTTTAGGGGCGCCTGGGCGGCTCAGTCGGTTAAGCGTCCGACTTCGGCTCAGGTCACGATCTCACGGTCTGTGAGTTCGAGCCCCGCGTCGGGCTCTG